CTTTACCTGTAGGGTTTTCCCATCAATTATAGCATATCCCGACCTTCTTTTCCCTTCAAGTACCCTGGATGATCCATCCACAAACAGCTTATCCCCTGTTTCCAGTTCTTCCCCCTCCAGGTCTGGTCTAATCTTTATTTGTTCTTCTATTTGCTGGAGGCAATCATGTGCTAATTCTGAGCAAGGCTCACCATACAGAAACTGTGCAGGATTTTGGAGGGCAGTGGCCTCAAGTGTTAATTTAGGGGATGAAATTAGGATTCCTTCATACTTCAAAAGCCTAGCCTCTGTAATCCATTTTTCTGCTTTCGGCTGCAATACTCCCCTTATGTTATGTGGGGACATTACCCTTAACTCGCTTCCAGAGGTAATCTTACCGGTTTCTTCTACCAGCAAAGCAGCTGCCACTATTGCCTGTAAACAGGTGGGCCACCCACGACTAACAGGATCCAGAAGCTTTGATAAGTAGGCTACTGGTTTCTTACTCCCAGCCCAATCTTGAGCCAAAACTCCATATGCCGTCCCCCCATCTACATTAACAAACAGATAAAAAGGTCTCTTCAGATCAGGGAGGCTAAGTACAGGTGCAATCCAGTCAAGAGTCAAGTTTAGATACTGACACTTAAAATAACCAATTAAAAGTAGACACGCCTCTGAGAACACAGAGGGGTTAAAAGCAGAATTCCCAAGAGAATTAGCTCTCTCTGGTTCCGGTCATCACAAGGTACAGACCTCCTTCAGCAACTACCAGTTCAAGAATAGACGGAGAGAGCTAAAGAGAGTGTAAAGATGCCCTTCGTCTTCAGAGGAAAAAAAGCAATCTCTGTTTTTAGACCCTCTGCCCCAGGGGAAAATGAGAGAGATTATAGTCCCGAAATAAAACACTAGACTATTGTTCCTAATAGTCCTTAGCAAAGCATCCTTAAAAGAGCCCTATAAGCAATCTCTATCCCTGCACAGTAGTAAGAACACTGTAACATAAAAAAAAGTGTGTCACACTAGCCAGTGTGTCTGAGCAGTGCCACATATAACATGAAAACACAAGAGGTAGCAGCTGTGTTTCCTAAGAGTCTGTAATACAAGGGGGACTCCTCTCTTCCTCAATAAACTCAGTATTAATTATCTTAAAAGATAAAAACTTAATTAAAGATCCAAATGAGTCTCACTATAATTTAGTAGAGTTAAGTAATAGGAAGAGAAATATTTTAGAAAGTTTTCATTTTAAATTTTGTATAGTTTTTTCCTTTTCTTTCTTTTCCTTTTATAGTAACAGTAGTAATAGTATAATAAATTATTTTCTTTATTATTAAGTTTAGCCTGCTTTACTCTGTTCTCAATTGCATTTCACAATATTTAATTGATAAATTGCATTTTCATGGGGTGCTGGCATCGTGCCAGCGTCAAACCATAACACATATAAAAGTTTTATCTTTCCACTGAAATTTCCTATCCACTACCTGCAGTACCCAAATAGTCCCAATAATTGCCTTACTTGCCTTTTAGTCCTCGGGGCTAGGATTGAGAGAATCTCCTTCTCCTGTCTCACTGCCTCCTCCTCTCATCCTGCACCTTAAAGGCTTTTTGCACATTCTGTCCCCTAGGGACGGCTCTCTTAATGCCCTGTATGATTATGTTCTGCAGGTCGTCCATATGGGTCCTATGCTGCGGGTCTTGGTTATTCCATTGGGGATTTTGCAGGGGCCTTTTAGTGTCTGCTAATGGTCCCTGTTGATGTTTATTATCCTAGGTTCTCATCCCCATTTCCCTTATAATTCTCCTTTTCTCTTTAAAATCCCCCAAACTCCGGGTCAAATCCCCCCCCAGATTTGGGTCAGAACTTCCTAATTTTGGGTCCATACCCCCCAGATTTGGGTCACAACTCCCCAGATTTGGGTCAGAATCCCCCAGATTTGTGTCAAAACCTCTAAATTTCAGGTCCAAGTCTTTAAATTCTGCCTCCAAACCCCCAAATTTGGGTCAGAACCTCCCAGATTCGGCTCAGAAGCTCCTGGTTTTGGGTCAGAACCCCCTAAAATCTCCTTAAAACTCCCCGAATTTGGGTCAGAACCTCCTGGATTTGGGACAGAACCCTCCAAACTCGGCTCCAAATCTCCAAAACCTCTTTAAAATCCCCCAAATTTGGGTCCAAACCTCCCAAATTTGGGTCCAAACTTTTCCAAAACCTCCTTAAAATAGTGGATCATTTTTGCTTTATCTTTTCCCTTTCCCCTACTGGGAAAGGCATGCCAATTATTTATCATTACTCCTAGAGGACTATCCTCAGGAATCTGGGGAAGCTTTGCAGGGGTTCCCCCACCCATGGGACCAGAGGGCTTGCTCTTCCTCTGTCCCATCTTCCGGAGTGCACTCAATTTTTCACACACACGCTCCCCTGGTTCGTGGCCCAAGCCCTCTCGGGTATTGGGAACCGCACTACTGAGGGTCCGCACTCACTTGGTCTCTATGAGACCTCTCACACACAACACTCTGGGAAAACCACCCCAAACCGAGCGGGAAACCGGCCTATACTCACGCGTCCTGCGTCTTCGCTCGGATCTTCGTGCACAAAGTTTACAGGGGTAACCGGTTCTCCTTTGCCCGCAGCTTAATTTAGGTTCGTCGGTAGAGAGACCGGGAGGTCTGGGACAATCGGGCCGCCAAAAAAAAGGCGGGGCGCCTCCCGAGGGTCCCAGAACAACCAGGCTATTTCTCTATCCGAGTCACGGCACCAAGTTGTGATAAATTATGACACGGGACCAATTTGTGTCATTTTATAAAGAGAATTTTATTAATTTAGCAAGCAAGCAGTACGGGCAAATGCAGCGCTGGGCGGCCGGGGAGCCTCTGCTCCCACCAACGGCTCGCGCCGCACCTCCCGGTCTTTCAGTTCTTATACCCCTTCAGTTCCGGACTTTGTGATATTCTCGACGTGCTCTGCATCTGCGCGGCGTGTTGCTAGGGGTCTTTTTTTTCTGCTGTCCAGTGGTCGTTTGAGGAAAGCTCCTATTCTTCTTCCCCCGAGGTAGCGTTAACCCTGCAATAACTTCTCCAAATATGGTAACACAGCTTTTAAAGATCTCTCAATTCCACTATCTACTAATAGCAGTACATCCTGCCCTCCTGCCCCACTGTTTCCTGTGACTTACACAGTCCCTGTGACTTTTCCTGATGAACAAAAACTATGCTATTGTCTTTCACAATCCATTCAGGGGTCAGGTTTGGATACTGACATTTGGAGTGACCAATTGGGGGTGGACATGCCTCTGAGAACACAGAGGGGTTAAAAGCAGAATTCCCAGGAGAACTCCCTCTTTGGTTGCGGTCAGGGTGCAGTGCAGGACTCTCCCCTGCGCGGCCCGTGGCTGGGTGGGGGAGGGGAAGGCCCGCGGCCTGACTGAGGTAAGGCCGAAGGGTGGAGGGGGACTGGAACTGGGCTGGCCCCCTGCAGGGTGGAAAAATCTGGCATTACGCCGCGGGGAAGGAGCCCCCCCCCCCCCCCCCCCCCCCCCCCCCTCCCGCAAGGCCACAAAGTGCCCAGCCGTGGGAGACACAGATCTGGGCACAGAGCCAGCCAGGGAGTCGGGACTTTTAACCCTTCCTGAGAAATGAAAGCTTTGTGAAATTTTACTCCTCCTCGGTTTGAAAGAGAGGAAGAGAGACAGCTTGAACCCTGGGATGTTAAAAGGGGAAATTATAGGTGGGAGGAGATGATGGAGTGGCTTTTGGCTGGACTTTTTCTTGTTAGCCATAGACTGAACCAATTTTCTCCTCCAAGAGAGACTGTATTTTAGGAGGATGCCGGTGAGCCAAGAGACCTGCTTCAGCAGCTGGGAAAAGACAGAAGTGGAGCGAACAGAGAAAAGTTTGGGAGGTTTGTGGTGGTGCACCCAGTCTTCAAAGAAGAAGAGAAAAAGATCTCTGTTCCTGAGACCCTCAGCCCCAGGGGGAAATGGGGGGGACTGCGGTCCCAAAAATGAAAAACTGAACTGTTGTTTTTCCCCTCTTGGCAGGGCATCCTTGAAAGAAAAAATACTAAGAGCAGTCTGTCCATCCATGCATTGGTGGTGAGAGCACTGTGCATGGAAAGGAGAGGGTCACCACTGGCAAACTTTTTTCTCCGGGCGGTGCCATATGTGACATGGAAACACAGGATGTGGCAGCTGTGTTTCTTGGGGGGTCTGTGGCACAGGAGAGGCTCCTCTCTCCCTGCAGATGGACTGGGTGTTGATTATCTGGAGGGTGGGAACCTGATTGGGGTCCAGGTTGTGTCTCACTGTGGTTTGCTGGAGTTGGGTGGTGGGAGGAAGAATGCTTTGGAAGGTTTTCATTTTGAATTTTGTGTGTGTTTTTTCTTTTTTTTTTTTTTTTTTTCTTTTATAGTAGTATAGGAGTAATAGTAGCTTAATAATTTTTTTTTCCTAGTTATTAAGCTTGGGCCTGCTCTGCTCTGTTTCCTGATCGCATTTCACAGCATTCAATTGAGAGGCTGCATTTTCATGGGGGCGCTGGCATTGTGCCAGTGCCAAACCATGACAATTTGTAAGGAACGGTATGTTTTTATTACAGTGCTGGACACATGTGAGGGATCTTTCCCCTTCAATGGACATGCACACCCCTGAGAACTCCCGATCCTTTTTTATTACCCTTAACTAATTTCCATATGCATAGAATTTCACAATAGGTTCATGCATATTCATTATGCTGATTTCACATTACACTTACAGCTAGTTACACTTGTACTCAGTTTTTGTCAGAAAGTACAGAAAGAACTCCTGGGTCACTCTGCGCTGTATAGACTAGGGAGCAAGAGGCTGGAGAGAAGCACTGTAGAAAGGGACCCAGGCTTCTGGCCACTGGCAAGCTGAATGTGAGTCAGCAGTGCCCTGGCAGCCAGGAGAGCCAATCCTGTCCTGGGATGCATCAGGCACAGCATTGCCAGCTGGGCAAGGGAAGCAATTTTTCTGCTCTGCTCTGCTCTGTTCTGCTCTGCTCTGGGGCAGCCTAGCAAGCTCAAAGAGGCACATTTCACCTAAATCCAAATGGATTTCTACCCTGTTAAATTTTCACTCTGTCTCAGGACCTGCAGCTTGGAGAAAGGAGTTCGCTGCCACCAGCATAACCCAGCAGGCAACCTTTTTTCTGCTGCTGGGCCCCTCATCCCCCTGCCCTACCAGGACATCCCACAGGTTCCATCTATTGCAGTGAAGAGTTGATACATTCTCATCCACTGCCCTGGGATTTCTGCTCATCCCTTTTGTTCCAGCCTGCTGCTCCCAAGAGTCCTGCTAGGGGCACCGGGATCAGCTGCCCCAGGGGTTTGTGAAGCAAAGCCTTTCATCTCTTCCCGTCTCGGCCAAGCTGCCATTGCCATATGCTCCCCAAGCCCGCGCCAGAGCACCCCCTGCAGCCATGTGGGGATCGCCGCATCTGCCCTGTCCACCGCGAGCCTGCCAGCACCCTTGCCGGCTGTGACAGTAACTACACCAAAGGGGAAAGTGCCACAGATGAAAAGGCTGTCACTGGGTTCCTGGTTCTGTTTGCTGTTAATGCCGTAGTTGTTGTTGTTTGTTTGCTTTATTATACATACTAGTAAAGAAATGTTATTCCTGTTCTCATATTTTTGCCTGAGAGCCCCTTAATTTCAAAATTCTAATAATTCAGAGGGAGGGGGTTTACATTCTCCATTCCAAGGGAGGCTTTTCTGCCTTCTCTAGCAGACACTTGTCTTGTAAACCAAAACACCAGTGGCAAACACACACATGCACGCCCCGCCTCCCCCCCAGCTGATCTGGGGCAGGTTGGAAAAGCGGTGAAAGAAAAAAACATTGAGAAACCACTCCAAAAGCAAATTCCCCCACCCCCATGCCGGATTGACCCGGGATTGCTAGCAATTACTGACCTTAGACAGATACACAATACACACACAGATACAAACTACATACTACACAGCAAAAAGAGCTACCTTTATATTACCTCCTGCAGGATCTTGGAACCGTGGTGTCTCAACCTCAGGCTGCTGCATGGAATTCTTTAGATTGCGGCAGGAAAGAATTCCTTGCAGGATGTTTCTGATCCAGAAGAAGGGTACCAGGTTCTCTTGTCCCATTTGGGTGTGCCAGAATAACTGTTGCCTCTGGCCCAACCTGGAAATGAAACTCAAGATAATTTTAGTAAGGAGGTAATATAAAAGTGGATCTTTATTTGAAGGCCTTCAGGAGCAGTTATGGAAAGATATCCAGAAAAGCCCACCCAAACGGGGTAAATACAGTTTTATAAATTTTAGGAAATTAGCATAATTGGTAAAAAGCACCAATTAGGAGGACAAGTGGTGATGCAATTCCTCCCCAGGTCAAGCCCCTTCTCTGGAGTCCCCTCCTTCAGCACTAGCTGTACTTTGTCCATGAGCATATATCTCAAAGAGTTGTTGTCAGCCTTGGCTCCCAGGAAGAACCAAGATAGCACAGAGCCTTGTACCTCCCGAGATTTGGAGCTCTGGAATTTGTCTTTCTGCCTAGGGAAAGGCGATGGAAAAGCACTGGGAAAATGAGTCACTAATACAATAGGCTACAGAGCTACAAATTAATGTGTGAAGAATACAGAGAACATAGGAAAAAAAAAAAAAAAAAAGGCAAAACCCAAACCAGCATCACAATTGTAATATTAAGGAAATGCCTTTATTGTGAATGTAATATTTTATTCTTCAACAGTGGCATATAATCTTCCATATTTATTCTGGACCTCCGCGCTGTAAAATAAAAGCATATAGTTAAATGTATTCCACTAAAAGAATGGAAAATGGAGATGAAATATTTTTCAATGTTCTAGATTAACAAATAGCGCTTTAGTTTTAATTTTTGATTTAGACATTTATTTTTAACCTGTATAGGAACATACGCAGAGTGTCAAAGTATCAGCATCTACCCATAAGAACTCCATTTTTTCAGGGACAAATACAAAAAGATCAGTACCTGCAACCTATATTTATAGCTTCTTCCAGTTCTCCCACGCTGAAGAAACATGTCTCTAACTCACTTTAGAAAGGTCTGATAAACACAGTACTAGTAACCAGAAGTTTTAGAATTATTTTCACTGCCCAAATTCCAAAGCAAAAACAAACCCAAGGTCAGCCATTACAATCAGAAAGGTACTCAATTCATTATATTGCTAATGAAATTATTTTACAGTTTACCTCACCATTACAAAATTTATGCTAGAGGTCAAGGATCATATTACTATGCAAAATGATTAATTTTATTTCTAATTATAATACCATACTGAGATACATGAAGGAAAACTGATTTTCTCTATTAATATGATCACACTGTAGGTGTCCTTAAAATTTAACAAAGCTATGTGTCTTTTCATTTCAAACTCACACCCGTCTCTTCAGTTCTTCATATTTTGTGCATTCTCCCTTTTTAAGCATCAGTGTTCACAACTGAAAATTGTTACAGAACAAAAGCAGGCTTTTCTTGCCTTTTATGTACAATGGCATATTTGCAAATATTGCAGAAAATATTTATATAAAGTTTAATCAAATGTAGAAATACAAGCAGTAACTTACTAATACATAACTTATACTAGCTCGAGGAATATTTTAGACTTCAGTTGCCTGGTAATAGCCTTTGCTGGTCTAAGAACAGACTCTTGTGCTCCTGTACAGCATATTCAAATTACACGTTAAACAGCTGTTACACAAGAGGTAGTGACTGTGATTAATGTAGGCTATGACTATCACAAGCTGTCTGCATGGCTGTATCTCTCTAATTAGTGACACCACAAGCTACTAATTAGTGAGAGTTGGGTACCTTGTATATTAAGATTTTGTAGTTTGGGTACTGTGCATCAAAGCGGTGAAAACTCAAAGTATACACTTGCCAAGAATTACAATGTAATATCGTATTTTAAACTTGGAAGGAGGTGTAGAAATAAGATAAATACTAGGCAAATACAGACAATACACAACAATAAATGAAACTTACTTGAATATATTCAATCTCTTCATCTGACATTAGCTTTCGTCTGTATTTCTGAGGTAAGGTTCTCATTGATTCAGAAGTGTCTGGTATACCTTGTAGTCTACTAACAGGTGAAATATTTTGAAATCCTGGTGATCTGCCTCCTACAGACTCCTGTGCTTTTGAAGCACCAAGAGATGGCATACTTGTTTGTAGAGATTCCAGTACTGAAATCCAGATTGCAAAACCATTACAGAAATATAACAAGACTTTAAAATTATTTAGTGAGTAGCCAATAAAAGTTACCAGTTGACAATGTTATTCATTATAAAAAATACTAAAAAGAATTTAAATAATTAAAATATACGCTACTTCTCCACAAACTGTTTTTATTGTTGCTAAATATACCAAGAACACGGTGAAAAAATTCTGAAAGTAAAAGAAAGCATATTTGAGTGGCAGAAATACGGATGTGTGTTGGAATCTGTGGGTATTGGTGATTTTGAGATTGTAGAAAGTTTTTGGTTTTTTGCTTTGTTGCTAAAGAAGAAGCTATAATTTGTCTGTGTTGTTTTTAAGGTTGTTTATTTTGTTTATCTCTAACATATTCTGCTGCCCTGCCGTAGGTTTGTCTTGCAGGGCAGCGTGCGGGGCTCTGCCCCCAGTAGGATGTTACAAATATTATATATTAAAAACTACATGTGCTATATTTATAATAATGTGCCAATATTTATCATCTATGTTAAACAGTGTGTCTCCAGCCTAAACTAATAGAAAAATGCTAACACTACAGTGAAACATAGAAGGCATAAAAAAAAAAAGAAAAAGACAAGACACTCAATTTCCTCTATATTATCCTCTCTGAACCCCTAATCTAAAAACCTAAAATTTTACTTTTGCACCCGTGTCACATTTAATTATTATTCTTATCAAACACTCAAAGCTTATAATTCATCCTATAAAATTGAAAACTCCTCTCCATAGACAAAAATCACAGACAGTATCTCTCAAGGCTCTGTACAAGAGAGTTCCTAATCCCTGCCAAGGTCCCAGACCTGCCAGGGCAGCCAGAAGAAAGCCCTAAATTCCCACAGATGTGGAAACAGAAGATAAATCAACATAGATCCTAACAAAGGCTTTTTCACTGGGAAGCTGTACTTGCCGAAGCAGCATGAAGTATCAAATATGTGTGTGCAGGGGATTATGTAGAAAGATAAATAAATAACATCCAACTAAGATGATGCTTTTTGATTACTGCAACTGTAAAGACAAACAAATGAAAAAGAGATAGAGGCTTAGAGAAAGAAAAAGCTCACAACTACGGCGTACCACAACATGTAATAGAATGCTATACCCATTCTTAATATTACAAAATGTCATCAAGAAAGTAAGGTCCCAAACAGAGTAAGGAGGAAGAGAACCCATCAAAAGGAGCAGAATCTGAACAGGGAGCATGCCATTAAACTGAAATTTTAAAATTTAAGAGCAAAAGGCAAAGGGAACAGAGGATGAAAACAAAAGAAAACAACACACAGATGATAATAGCTTTGGCTAGTAATGACTACAAAGTATTTTTAAGAAGTAACCTTATATATTAAAAAAAAAAGACAGTTTCTCCAAATTTGTTTTATATACCACATAAATATTTAGAAATTTGCCTAAGATTTTCTTCTATTGTATTTTTTAAAGTCTGGAGTGTATTTACAATAGAAGCATTAGCCAATCAAAAACCTAAAGTCAAGATTAAAAAATACCTGACCTAATACTGCTGTTGCTTAAGCTCAGATACAGTCCCTACTACAGTTTTCCCTTCCCTGTTTGAGACCATCATGTTGCAGTAGTAATATAATAATAGAATGTGGCTGACCTTTAAAGCACTCGCATCCCTAAAAGTATAGTCTTGATCTGCAGAGCTGTGTGTAGCTATGTAGAAGCAACATTCTGGTATGGTGAAACAGTTATTGCTACAGCATTCAAGCAAAGTGAAGTAGATTGCAATTCACTAGTGAGGCAGCAGAAATTAATTAATGTATAAAGGTCTAATATACTTTAAATATATAACCACAAAAATCTTGTGATGCAAAGATAAGCATAAGCTAAGTAACATGTTTTTAAGCCTTTGAGAAAGCAATTCACTGGCATGAAAGGTGGGGCAATTGGCTGAACTGGGCACAATATACAAAATTCTGACTGAAAGTTATCGCAGAATATAGTTCCTGAAGAATTCATAGGCAAGTCAGAAGTGGCACTGATGTTTATTGTAGATACTTTGCAGTGTTAATGGATAAACTAAAAGTTAAATCCTAAATATAATGCTGTGGCAAATACATAGTGTGGTATCATTTCTAAACAAATGACAATAACAACAGAGCTTCTTAAAATATCTACTACTTTAGTTTCAAATGCTTTATTGACTCAAATGGAATATTAAAACAACATATAGCTCATTAACTTAGATGTTCTAAATGTAACAGTATTGAGGTCCCTATAAATATAAACATAGCTATAGGTGTAAAAATTAATGTCAAAGATTGCAATGAAGTTATTTTTTTCTCAGTATTAATTATTAGCACAAAGAAACACTTCTTAAAATGTACAGTGGAATGGCTCTTAACCATAAATTAGGGTTTTAAATGCCACCACCATCACACACTCCAATTAGGAAAAGAAAGGATGAGGAAAATGCAACATAATTTTCTGCAAAGATCACCAAATGCCTAAGGCTGCTTCAAATTCACTTGGATACTATCACTTCAGGTAAATATTAGTATTTTCAAAAATATGACTTCTTATATAAGTAGAAAAACATCACTAGATATCCTTGTGATTCTGCCTTGACCAAAAAATAAAGGCATGCATATATTATGCAGTTGTATGGAGTCTGAAAAGGAAGCCTTCAAACTAAATGATGATTCAGAAACTCTGCTCAAAATCAGTTGAGTTGCATAGTCAAAGCAGAAAAATTGTGTGCTGATTCTTATATACGACAGTTTATGCAAAGAAATATGGCATAAATTGTATCTATAGATGAAATACTTACTTTTAGGTCTGGGACTACTTTTTCTGTCTGGGAACTTTATTAAGGGAGTATGTGGCTTGACTACCTAGAACAAGACAACGTAGTAGGAGAAATCGGGAAAATAACACATATTTCTAGACAAACATTAATAAAATGAAATGCACAACAAATTATACAACCATTTCTATACTGCTGCTTTGTGCACCAGCACTGTGGTGAAATTACTACTTGAATTTTATTTTTACACAAAGACAAATTTCACCTTTAAAGGCACTACCCGACCCTAGTGTTCAGAACAGGAATAAGCATTCTCTTAATTTTCTCGCAGCAATCAGTGTGTATGCAGAAATAGCTACTACAGTAGCAAAAACGGAATGATGAAGTTTTAGCATGTGAAATTGCTAGCAGTGCTCTGTACCTGTACATATTTGTTCAGCTGGCTGGCTGGGATGGACTAGTTCCATTAAGGAAAAAACCCTATAAATTATAACGTCTGGTATTCAAAGCCACTGTGCTTATTTTTAAAATATGTCTTTTCAAGAAGACTCTGTTTCACCTTTGAAGGGAAGAAGTATGGCTTAGAAATGAAATACTGATTAGCACCCTCCCCTCTTGAAGAGCGACCGAAAAGAGGCAGCCTGCAGACTGCTCAGTAACATCCTTTGGTACCAGAACCAGAACGAGGAATCTAATGACCGGCTCTACCGGGCCGGCCCCGCCGCATGCTTCTTCCCCCGTACCAAGGACACCAGCCTCTCCAGCGGCGCCTCGGGCATCGGCCACCTTAGGACCGGCGGCCGCGCGCGAAGCGAGGCCTGCCACCCGCGCCAGGTTCCAGGTTCCAGGCCCCAGGCTCCCAGCCCCAGCCGCCCCAGCCGCCTCCCGGTCCGCAGGCCACACACTGCTACCTGTACCACTCTAGTGGCAGCCGCCATCTTACTGCCCATGGTTACGCCATATCCCAGCGCCAGAGGAGCAATACCAGGCCACGCCCATTATGAGCGGGGCCCAGAGAAGGGGCTGTTTGAAGCAGTGCCAAAATACAAATAAAATAAAGGGGCAACACATTAATATTTAAAAATAGCTTCAAGTAGCTCTGCATTTTATTTGAATTTTATCAAGATACAGCCAATCTACATTTTAAAAGCTGACTCTCACTTCTAAAGAGTGACGATGTTTTAATTTAAAATATTACTTTGGTGAGTTGACCTTGGCTAGACATCAGATGCCAGATGTGATTATGATTGGCTTTTCGCAAATATTAAATTGAATACTATATGTATTATGGAGGGTTATTTTGTAATACTGTATTAATCGTTTTTAAGTAGTGTGTTAAATATAGTTTTAGGTTACAACATGTTAAAATAGAAACTCTGTGATGCAAGATATTTTTTACTAGCTCAAGAAAAGGGATAAGATAATCAAGAAACTCTTTGCACAGAGATAACAGCGACATGAAACCTGAAGAGTTACAGCCTCCTTATCAGAAAAGACATTCTTCCACCTTCTCTCCGTCTTTAGGGAAGCACCAGGATTAAGGGGAAGAAGATGAAAAAAACCAGAAAAGTTCTTAATTTGCAAGGAATTTATGCATCATGTGTGAGATATATGAATATGCAACAGGCTATTGTTTTTAAGGGTTATTCCGTGCCCCCGTGTCAATGAAATCAAATTCTGAAGAAATCATCCCACGGAAGTCCCTGGAACGGAGCCAGATCCATCAAAATTCCTCCGGAGGTGAAAGGACTCAGCTGTTCAACATCTCGATTCCTTCTGGCCACAGGAGTCCTATCCTGTGCTCTGCTGGATGGACCTCGGGGATGATAGCTGAATCCTGGATTTGGTAAGCTCCCAAAGGGACCAAAATGGCAGAGACAACTCTCGAAAAAAGAGACAGACGCATTCCAGAAACTAGAGCTCTTACTTGAAAAACAGCACCCAGTTAAGATCCCTGAGAAAGACTTTAAATTCCTGCTGCTGTGGGCAAGGAAAACTTACCCAGCTCTTACAGAAAAATATTTATTTGAACCCCGGTTATGGGAAGATGCTAGCATGAAATTATATGACTGCGTCACATCACAGGACCCAAATGCAGGGGCGCAGACCCCCAGGTCAACTGAGACTTTTTGTCCAGGGGTGGAAGGGCAGGGGAGCCCGCTGCCCCAGCACCCGGATTCCAGAGCCGTCCCCTAAAACTCGTGACCCGCCGCGCCGCCCCCCCCCCCCCCCCCCACTTCCCCCAATTCCCGGAGGAAGCCCCCTCCCTTTGAGGATGAAGGGGATTTTCCCGGCGGGGAGAGGCAACAAATCCCAAGCTTTGAGTTACTCCTCGGTGAAGAGGAGGGAGACGGGAGACGATGTGTCTTTTTTCGCTTTACTTGCGTCTCTGCATGTTCCTGGGGGGGGGGGGAAGGGGGGTTGGAAGAGCCGCCCTTCTCCTCGCCACTTTCCCCCGCCCCTTTCCACGCCTTGGGAGGCGTCACAGGCGCCCGAGGCTTCAGTGGCAACGCCTTCGGTTTTCGGCAGGCCGCCCACAGCCTCTGTCACCACCCAGCCTCCGAAAAAGACATCACAAGGGCACGCCCCGCTCGGTTAGAGAGGCCCCGGGGCCGGCCGGTGCCATCCAGGTCCCTCCCACCCCCGCCCCCGAAGCCCGAACCGCGGCATGGAGGGCGGGAGTCACAGCAAGCGGGTCTGACGTCACCACACGCCCTTCCCAGCGGTCCGTGCAGGCTCAGTCCGTGCCAGCGACAGCGCATGCTCCCTGCGCACACCCAAGCCAACCTGCTGCCCTTCCCGTCTCCATTGGAGCCACAGCAGCCCCCCCCCCCCCCCCCCCCCCTCCGCCTCCACTGATGAGGCTGCCGTGCCTCGCCGGCGGTCGATGCGATCAAGCATCGCCGAGTTCGGGCAGTCATCGTTTCCCGAGGAGGCACATCCCGCTCCACTCCGTCTCCGACAAGAGGAGGCGCTCTTCACAGACAGGGGACCCCCTGAATTACTGGGGACCAGTCCGAGAGCGAGCGGTCGCTCCCCGGTGCTCGACAGCTTGAAACCGCGAAAAGTTTACAAGATACGCAATCTGCGCAGCCAGGAGCTGCACAGACAGATCAGGCTACGCAAAGTGCACAGCCACCGCAAACAGCGGAAAATAAGGAAGTAACAGCCCGATGCCAGTGGAATTGCTTTTAGTGCCAGCGGGGCGGGCTCAGCGGCTCCGCGGCAAGTTTTAAACGTAACAGGTACAGCTTTGCTTTCAGCAGGTTCACAGAGCCCGGCGGAGATGAGCCGGGGTCAGACGGAGGTTGTGAGAGAACAGAAACCGCTCGTAACGAGCGAACGGGAACACGGTCCAGATTGCGGACCGGGAGTTGCAAACACCGACCCAAAAATCTCACAATCGGAGCTCACTAATGTTCATAGCAGCAGTGCAGAATCTCCCTTCCCTGCCTGCTTTCTCTCAAACGCCGACAGACTGCATGGAAACAGCTGTGCCCCCTCATTCCGGGAATCCAACCTGCTGCTTCACGCGGGCTGCGGGGCGCCAAAACTACGGCTGTATCCCCGAATTCAGCACTGCCCACGGTAAGAGAGTCAGCATTGCCTGCTACAGCCCGAGCACAGGGCTCAGCAGACCGACACCACCAGCCTGGACCTGGATTGAGTTCCATGCAATGACGCTATCCAGCAACAACACCACTGCAGCCAGTTCAATCACATTATAAGACATTTTTTCAAGTTTCCATTTTAAGTGAACAGAATACAGTAATTATATTCCCAGGTAAATGGGAAATCACCTGACATGACACAGCACTTCCAAAAGTGGAAGCCACAGCTCAAGACACTGATGATCCATAATAACGACAATTCTCTGCAACGCAAGATGCTAGCAACTGTTATAAATAAATGCTCCGATTTAATAATTAAAGAAATTTATTAAATTATCAAAGTATAAATTTGTAAAAAAAAAGAAAGCCACAAGCAATTACACTCTGAGCCAGGCGATCAGTGTCGGGGAGACTTAGGACTTGGCCTCTATCGCACCAAAGTCCCTGTAAGTCTCCGAGGGTCAGTTCTAAAGGGTCCATTTTTATACAGTCTCTCGGGCTTTGGAAGGGGGTCTTCTTTAGCATATTATCACGCTTTCCCAGAACCAGTGGAAAATTGCTGGAGTCCTGTCAGGTGAAAATTTCTGGGATAAGCTTCTGATGATGCCTATCAGAATGCCTCCTGCAGGGGTCTAGTCAGATGAGAGAAATCCCTTGGAACATACATTTCTGGAGACAGTGTCTTCTTGGTGTTTTGAATTTCTATCACTTAGCTTGCTTGTTGCCTGACACTGGTTTTAGTACACAAAGTGCTGTGGTTTTTAATTTCATTTAGCATGAATTATTTTATAACATATATTACATATTACACGATGAAAATATTATTTCCATCACAGCCGAACAAGACATTCCTATGCCATCACAGATCCTACTCTGCTTTTGGCAAACAAGCAAGACTCCAGCATTTCACCTGCCTGCCCGAAGCGTTTACTTTCCAGGGCAACAGACCAGCTCCATGATTTATCCACATTTTTCCATTTTCAAAAGACTTTTTATGACAGCTTTTCTTCCAACTCAAGGAAATATGTTCAAGAATTCTGACCACGACATAATGGACACTTTCTTCAAACCTCCTTTCTAGAGCAAGATGGCAGCACCTGTTGAAGTGTGTTTTAAGTTTCCCCCCAGTTATGGTTGCTCCCTGTCCCCCTCTTTTTGTAAAATGGTCCAGCCTTCCTTCTCCTCCCTCCTCCGTCTGCCTGTCATTCCTCCCTCCACCCAGTTCATTGTATTCCTGCTGAGTTATCCGCCCCCAGCCACACCCCGGAGCCTGCCTGTCTCTCAGAGACCTCTCCCTTCCACCTAGAAAGTTCCATCCAGGGCTTCGAGTGATAGGCTGGTCTCCAGGGTCCCCTCCCTCCCTCCTACCTCATTGGAAGTTTCCCCTGCGTGTCACCCCTGTTACCACCCCCAGGTGTTATCCCATTGGTTGGCTGCTGTTTCCTCCCCTTGTTACCACCCCCCTTTAAGAAGCAGGGCACACGGTGCCCATCGCCTTTTGGTGCTTATCTTCTTCGAGCCAATAAACTCGGAACTCAGATACCCCCAGAAGGACGGCTCCTTGCTTTTGTCAGAGTCGCTCTGCGTGTGTTTCAGTCTGGTGGCTTCGACTTCCCACAGGCCATACCTCGTGCCCACAGCGGCACATGAGAGTGGCCTTTGCTGCCTCAGTGCTACAGGTTCTGACCTAGCCGAGACCTAGTAACCTAGCATCAGCCTTAGTGGCTCCGCGGTAGAATTCCCGCCTGCCACGCTGGCAGCCTGTGTTCAAATCCCAGCAAAGGCACTAGTGCTAGCGAGACTTGGGAAGGCACAGTGACAGCTTGGCGCCCACTGGGGGGGGGGGGGGCTGAGAAGACCTCCAGACCCCGTGGAGAAGACCAGCGGAGCTGGCGGAGCCGTCATTTCGGATTTTTTCCCTGACACCAGTTTGCACGAGGTCTCTGGAGGTTAGGCTACCCCCAGTGGGAGGAGACCTAGTTTTATAGGTGGCTCTCCTGGGGGACAGGAGAGGCAGCTTCTTCGGTTCCCACTAGAAGTCTCTCCCAGACAAAAGCCCTGCCTCGGAGTTTTCGTTGGTCCCACGGATTTGGGTAAGTAGGAAAATTCCTACATCTTTTCTTCCTTCCTCCCTTTTCTCTTCTGGGTTTGGAACAGGGGAAGTTATTTCTCCTTTGGTCCGTGGGTGGGGGGAAAGCTTTGGGTGTCCGGTTGGGATCTTTGTTTTCTTTCTGCTTTTTCTCTCTCTCTGAGGTGG